GAAACAGGTCGCCTTTCAAGGTCACAAGAATCACTTGACAACAGGTAATTGCACCAGTACACGTTATTTTTTTATGAAGGAGCAAGGAGATCACTCCGGGTGGACTTATGGATATCTAAGTGAATACGTAACCACCGCTGTCGAAACGAAACCAAAACTTATGATTCGTAAGACGCGTCCTAAGAGCAAATATTAAGGACGTCTATCACAATAATGTCACTGATTAAGGATGCAGGATCGACTTATTGCTGCACAATAACGCCCACACAGGATCATGTAGGTGGGTCAAGGACGTTCATTAACACAATTAGCCGGGTAAACGAATCAACTGATGAGACGGAGCACGACGTGTGTCGTGTATTATACGTACCACACTGCTGGGCACGTCACACACGTGCAATGGAACATATAGGCTGGACTGGTATCTTATCTCTAGATAAGTCACAGATACAGAGGACTGGCTAATCTCCAAGAGAACTGTGTTAGACTGTTATCTTACCTTGAGATAAGTCACAGATACAGGAGGACTGGCTAATATCCAGGAGAACTGTGCTAGACTGGTATCCTATCTCTAGATAAGTCACAGGTACAGAGGACTGGCTAATCTCCAGGAGAACTGTGTTAAACTGGTATCCTATCTCTAGATAAGTCACAGGTACAGAGGACTGGCTAATCTCCAGGAGAACTGTGTTAGACTGGTATCTTACCTTGAGATAAGTCACAGGTACAAGAGGACTGGTTAATCTCCAGGACAACTGTGTTAAACTGGTATCTTACCTTGAGATAAGTCACAGATACAGGAGGACTGGCTAATATCCAGGAGAACTGTGCTGGACTGGTATCTTACCTTGAGATAAGTCACAGATACAGGAGGACTGGCTAATATCCAGGAGAACTGTGCTAGACTGGTATCCTATCTCTAGATAAGTCACAGGTACAGAGGACTGGCTAATCTCCAGGAGAACTGTGTTAAACTGGTATCCTATCTCTAGATAAGTCACAGGTACAGAGGACTGGCTAATCTCCAGGAGAACTGTGTTAGACTGGTATCTTACCTTGAGATAAGTCACAGGTACAAGAGGACTGGTTAATCTCCAGGACAACTGTGTTAAACTGGTATCTTACCTTGAGATAAGTCACAGATACAGGAGGACTGGCTAATATCCAGGAGAACTGTGCTGGACTGGTATCTTACCTTGAGATAAGTCACAGGTACAAGAGGACTGGTTAATCTCCAGGACAACTGTGTTAGACTGGTATCTTACCTTGAGATAAGTCACAGATACAGGAGGACTGGTTAATCTCCAGGACAACTGTGTTAGACTGGTATCTTACCTTGAGATAAGTCACAGATACAGGAGGACTGGCTAATATCCAGGAGAACTGTGCTGGACTGGTATCTTACCTTGAGATAAGTCACAGGTACAAGAGGACTGGTTAATCTCCAGGACAACTGTGTTAGACTGGTATCTTACCTTGAGATAAGTCACAGATACAGGAGGACTGGCTAATCTCCAGGACAACTGTGTTAGACTGGTATCTTACCTTGAGATAAGTCACAGATACAGGAGGACTGGCTAATCTCCAGGAGAACTGTGTTAGACTGGTATCCTATCTCTAGATAAGTCACAGGTACAAAGGACTGGCTAATCTCCAGGAGAACTGTGTTAGACTGGTATCCTATCTCTAGATAAGTCACAGGTACAGAGGACTGGCTAATCTCCAGGACAACTTTGTTAGACTGGTATCCTATCTCTAGATAAGTCACAGGTACAGAGGACTGGTTAATCTCCAGGACAACTGTGTTAGACTGGTATCTTACCTTGAAATTAGGCAAAGGTACAGAGAACTGGCTAATTTCAAGGATGACTGTGTCATGTGTTACTTTGTACGATTCTGAAAAATCTTTAATTTAAATTACGATGCATATTGAAGGCAAATACGTTGGATATTGCAACTAGAATACTTTTCTCGTTTTTAAACAATAAGTATATTTGATGTGTTTTTTATGTCTGGTCAGTCAAGAGGGTCTTGTCTCAACCAAATCATTCGGTCATAATTAAGGGTATACTTTACATCTTCTATGTGCTATACTTGTTTGCTTTCGCAGTCTTATTCAAATCGATCGTTTTAAATTAGTAAAGTGAAGTGTAAAAGTGTATCGAATGGAAATATTCCTTAAAATTGTCTTCAACTAATTAATGAAGCAAACCAATATTCAAGAACCTATATGTTTCTATGGATGGTAAAGGTTAGCACAGAACCTCCGGATTGATAAGTTATCTTAAGCGTCTTAAGCGGTTATGTAGGTATTCCATGTGACAGATAAATTACATCTAAAATAAACACATACCAAATTTGTCTTCAGTATAATCAACAGTCGTCACAATTTATTGGTGGGTCGTCTTTTGAAATTAGTGTTCCATGGTATTTTGACGTCAAATTGCCTGCTAATCAATTTTTTTATGTAGTAGTCTAACCTAATATAACGTATCCCAAATTTTTTTAGATCAGTTTAGAAGCTGCTTCTTAACACATTTTAGAATTCAAGAGCTCAACCCAATTTCTCATACTGTTAAATCAGCTGACTAAACAATTTGCTGTTGAAATTCCGTTACACAAACGCTTTCAACACTCAACTTTATACTCGTGTCAAATTCAAACATTTGTCAATTCAAACACACAAATTTAACACTTCAGCTATATTTGTAGAGGAAACGCAATTTCATGGATTATGTTCAAAGAAGAGTCCATCGTTGTTTTGACATGTTGAATATTATGACACCAGGAATGTGTCAAGTATAAATACGCTGATTTTACTATACGATTATAAACGGTCAAGTAGTTAAATATAATTCTCACGATGATTTATAAACAGAAATTTTGAAATATAAATCATTACTTACTGTTTGATACCTGATACAATGACAAACTTGATTTGCGGGGTAAAAAATCACTTTTCCTACAGTCACCCGACAAAATGGGCTTCCTCGCACTGATTATAGTACAGAAAGCTGCTAATTGCTGATTTTACTTACTTTGTCGCACCGTTTATACTTTGTCGCATGGTTTATACTTTGGCGCACACCAGTATTCCAACCAAACAACAAAAAACAGCATGGTCTTATTATGCACGTTACACTAATCCGTGTACACTTGGAAATAGGTTGGCAACAGTTAAAGATACTACTAATATGATCAGCTGATTGACTATAATTCATAATACGATTTAACCTGTCATTTCGTGTTTATATTCTATTTTCGTTCAACGCTTATTTTGAACGTAACCTAAAGTGTAGTATTTAAAAGAATTATAAGTGGGCCTAACATGTTTGAGAATAATGAACTCGGTGATTGTGAATATATGTGTACACCAGAAGAAATATGTAGCAGAAACTGCAAAACATATTTAATTAAACATGTTTCCTGAAAAATCAAGAAAGGAGAATAGAATGAACGAACATACGAACTGTTTTCTTCTTGGTTCCTAAGTAAGAAAGTTACAAAACTACTTGCTTATTCTGTTTATACTGATTATTACTGTTTATACGTGTACTTTGAAAATAAGTAACACCTAAAGATACTACGACTACAATCAGCTGGTGCAGTGTTTCCCATTCCGTTCAACGCTTGGGTTTAACCTAACCTAAAAATGTGTTGTATGGTGTTTGAAAGACTAATTATTAATATGTTTTATAGTGACTGTAATCTATTTTAGACTTGAAAAATGTAAGCAAATCGGATCTGTAGAAACCCAAAAGACGCAAACCTACAATATGTACTCTATTTGATCTTGCGAAACACCATGTTGAGTTTTATTTACAACAAATTAGAAACACACTCAACCTCATTAATAACTATGCAACAATGAATATCAGCTGATTTGCAATGAAATAAAAATACAGTGATGCCAACATGCTGTACTTGTAATTAGTGTTGCGTAAAAACACTGTATTTTGATATAAAAATAGGTCTAATGGTAGATGTAATTTTTATTTAACTCTTTAATTATACAGTTATATAGTCGATTATGGTATTATTCCACTTGCATGATGATATTTTTAGTACATAGTATGATGCTTTTAATCATACGTAATACAAGTAAATAGTACAGCGTTAGGTTGAATATACTTCTACCAGATATTTACAGAAAATTTATACAGTGTTTGGTAACTGCTATAACTCCAATTCGGTGCTTAGTTTTAATATTTATTTAGTGTTTTTGTTTTGTGCATGTTTCACAGTTTATATGCAAGTGGATGAATTTATAAATCCCTGCTAGATTTATTGTAAACATTATTGCGGAACTGTATGCTTTTGAAATTTTAAAATCAGATGTTTAGAAAATTGTTGAGAAATTTTTACAATTCTGACATTTGAGCTTGGAGCTGCATGTGAGAACAAGTTTTATTTAATCCATTGTTGCTGCAAACCAACCGAAAAACTAGAAAAATTATACAAAATTAATCGAATAAAAGTGTCACATTTTTTTTAAATTCTTGATAGAATAAAGTGCATGATAACCGTATATGAACATAAAAAAATAGTAATTCAAATAAGTACACATAACTGATGCAAAATATTTGTCAGGACATCATTCCATGCCGTTGTATTCACACTATATCATACTAAAGCACAATTTTTACCGAATTAACGATTTTTAAATTTGAAAATATACGTACAGTACTAATGTATGTTTTATGTTAACTTATTTTATGTGCACACATTTACGAATCTAAACATACAAAATTATCCTAAAACATACTAAAATAATCCATCAAGCCCTTTATTTAACATAGAACAATTCTAAAAATCTGTACAAAGGTCCATGTGGGATATTGATTAAGGATAAGTATCCACACGGATGTAGTTCTATAGACTAAACAATCAACAAGACCAAATCCGATGTTTAGTAGAAATGCAATACTATTTTACGGTTTTACCAATTTACTTGAAAAGTTGGCTTGAAATGGTCTATTTTACAAGTGAGTAGCACATACCATGGTGCTGCTGTGCTGTCAGCCGCGCCGCTGCGAGTAGTCACACAGGAACACCAGTCACAGACTAGCTGGGTTTTGTGCGGCTTCCTAACCATATTATGGGATGTCGTCATCACCAGCTCTGCAGCAAACCTGCAAACTCACTCGCACCGTTGTAACGTGATACACAATTTAAAATTGTAAAACTTTGAACTTTTAGTTCGACATTAAAGACAATCTGTTTTGTTGCGTTATATTTCTTTATACACTTAGTACAGGACATACGTATGTGTTACACTTTGCTGCACTAACGTCATAAAAAAAGCTTACCCAACGTTATAAAACGTAGGATGACACGTTTGTACCAAATTTCATGTTTGTATCCACATTGTAAATTGGCGGTCTTACCGTTGATATGAATGAATTTCGTCATGATCTGATAATTTTTTCTCGCGTTATCGAGCTAATAGTGCCAGGTCTGTGAGAAATACGCTAAAACCCACAATTCATAGATTAGTTGTTATTTAGATTGTCTTGATTTTGTTATTTCTATTTTTGCTGTTGTAAAGTTATTACTTATTATATGGCGAGAGTTGTTCTGAAAAGCAGTTGTACTGAGAAACGACTTTCAATAGAGGCATTTTTATTTATTTATAAAATCCTAACTTAAATCATATTAATTCACACAAGTAGGTGGTACCAACTTGGCGACAACAGCTAAATCTCGCAGAGGAAATACTTAATTGAAAATATAGGGGTTGTAAGAGTCATAGTTTCTGGTCACATACCCCTATTGGTGTACACAAATATATAATACCATAGATTAAAGGACCATCCTATGCGTCATCTATATGGCTCTCTTGTTCTCTGGAAGTATTAACTTTTCAATCAGCATAATACGCGCTATTAATTTTACTGAAAGTAAATACAAGTACTGTACTCCTTTTGTTTTAAGAAGTGTAAATGGATATGTCAAGTGTTATTAGACGTTTTTATTTACTTTCCGTTAAAATGTGTGACTGAAACCGGATAAATATTTTTCTAATATCCCACAAGATTTGTGGGTTGACAGCAAAAATCGACTCAACCGATCAATATAAGGTAAAATTAACTCTTGTAAAATATTAATTAGCTTTGGTTGTTTTTTATTTGTGTATACTTTATTTATATACTAGCTGTACCCGCGGGCTTTGCCCCGTTTAACTTCATAAGTATTCGCATGGTTCAATCCCGGTTGGTTGAAGTTCGTTCGCTACGCTCACTCACCTTTAGGTTGGAGCTCGTTCGCTGCGCTCACTTGCCTTCAGGTTAGCTCGTTCGCTACGCTAACTTGCCTCCAGATTGAAGTTCGTTCGCTACGCTCACTCACCTTTTGGTTGCAAATTAGCTGTTGTCATAAATTAAAAAAATAATAATGCTGCACCCTGTTGGTAATCCTTGTAACTTTAATGCTATTGAACACCATAGAACAGAATCAACTTGTTATTCTGAGCCCGAAAGCCCGATCAGAATAAAAACTACTCAGTTCCTATTTAATGCCTAAAGAATCGGTGTGCCGAATTTCAGCCTCCTAGGTAAATAGGAAGTGGGAGAATTAGTGATGAGTGAGTGAGTGAGTCAGTGAGGGCTTTGCCTTTTATATATTTAGATTCTGTGCTATATTCATTGCAAAAATGGTGTATACTGTGTAAATAAATATGGCTGTATAGTACTGTGATATTATTTTTGTGAATACTATAGTACTTTATGTGCCTACGAGGAGGCTAACTAACATTGAAATTAAGTTAAAATATTAACCATACGATTCATGGAAGGATATATAAGTTGCGTTGCTCACGAGGAACTGTATGGGAAATACAATTTGATCGTTATCTGTTAAATGTTAAACATTCTCAATCATTTTAAAGCCTTCAAACTATAGAACGCAACCTATATGCATTATGTAGTTGAGATTGCATTGACAAATTTGAAGGAGAGAGAAGTCGTTTGCTCTAAAAATACCACCGCAGCAGCAAACCTACAGAAGAAAACTTAGTCTGACCTATCAAACCACTTACACATATGCCAAACTGCATTTCCCTGTAAGAGTATTAAGTGAAAAGTAAATTAGCGAATTCACATTTGCCTGGTTAGATTTTTTACTAACACATGTCAAATTATTCCCTCTTCTAAATAACACTGGATATGACGAGTGCTTACGTTTGCTAGTACCTACTGTACTAGGAAGGGGGAACGCTTTTTGTTGTTAAAATGTTAATATCACAGGATGAAATGATTAAATTTGCCAAATTAGGTCATAATATGTCTATAAACAAGAAAACTACACCAATTTTCATTATCTCCAAAAGATTATACAAACAAATTTCTTAAGTTGAATTTTTTCCTCCGTAACTTACAATTGTACAACACTTAAAATAAAAATGGTTTGTTTTTAGCTCTGCTTGATGGTTCTAACGAAAATTTGGAATTTTTGTATATTTAAGAGTAAAAATTGTAAAAGAAGACATTTTGATAATTTCAAATTCCTATAGCACTCAGTTCTTATGAACCAATCCTGCTGGTTCGAACTCATTAGGGTTTATGCCAAATTTTATCATAATCAGATCAAAATTACTCGAATTATTGTGTTCACGGACACATATAAAGAGAGCATATAAAAACAAATAATTGAGTACATTGAAGTGTTGTTGTATGCCCAAAGGTTGGGGCAATGTACCCAAATAGTTTAATTTAAAAAAAAATATATTTTATTTATTTATTCTTTGTTAAACAATTTAGGAACAAGTATCAAGCATTGACTTTGTATTTTTAATATTCAAAATGTGTTTTTTAAATTAAATTTCATAAGCGCGCACAGCTGGCTTTTTTGCTTCAGGCGCCTAATGGAACCAAACAACCGAATTAAAATTTTTATTTTTTCTTAAACTATTTAGAAACAAGTATCAAGCATTGGTTTTGTATTTTTAATTTAGAAAACAGCATTTTAGATTAAATATCATAAGCGTCCACAGCTGGTTTTTCTGCTTCAGGCGCCTATAGAAAGCAAAGCGTTTTTGCAATTTCCCGCAGATTTCTTTTTTAGTGTTTTCCATCACGTTTTAAAGGTAACTTTTTTTATTTTTTTTTAGCTAGAGAAGTCAAATTTTGTACATATGTTCTTCAATATATTGTGCACAAACAGTATCATGGATATTTACATATGACTAACCGTAATCCTTACACATTTTTTATAAAAAAAATAAACGAAACTTTGTCAAAAATTAAAATAAAATGTCCCTTATCTATTTTTAATAGCATATCAAAAGCCATGTTACAGTTTGTAAGGCTAGTTATTAGCTTTGAAACAAAGTTAAAATAAAATGGAATACGTGCTATACAAAAGGAGTCAAAACGTAAACGTATGTTTTTTAAATCCCCCCCCCCCTAGCCTGAAAGAGAAAGGGGGAGTTCATAACATTTTTTTTATTTTTACACTAGGATACACTTTGATAAAAAAAATAGGCCATTTATAAAGAAAAAGTATTTTTGGGTACATTGCCCCCAAGAGGTATAACATAAATGAATATTAGTAAAAAGGTCTAAACCTAGTGTTGAGAATAAAACAGGCGTAAACTACATGCATTTACCTCAAAACAAGTTACATATGACAACGAAATGGTGTTCAAATAAAAGTAATAATAGACTCTTAACCTATAAATTAATCTGTAATAATGGGATCACTATTTAATACACGTAACGAACGAAATCGTTGTTGGCTTAGGTGACGATCAAACAAGAAGGATAGGTGATGTAAATAATATACATCTCGGACTAGCAGGATTACGGGCCACGCCTCGACCCCAGGTAAGGGGCACGATTTGTAGCCTACAAATAATATCAATTAACTTATTCTTGTGAAGTTTATGTTAAGTGTATAGAGGAGAGTTGGAGTATTTGTGTATTTTAGCCATCTAAATCAAAGCGGGAGTCAACGTATAAGAAGGTGTTTTGTTAATTACCAAGGCTTTAATTTTTTCTTTATGTGTAACATTTACAATCTATAGCTTATTATTATCTTTCTAGCTGAAGCCTATTTTGTTTCTTGATTTAATACACTTACTATTAATAGTTATAGATTCGCTAAATAGCAAATTTTATAATTACAGTGGATAGCCATTGGTGTCACGATCTAGCGGCGAATACACAAACTACTAGGCCAGTTGCCTCTTATCGCCGCAGAAGCGATAAGAGCTAGCTTTCTGGCTTCTGTGTCTTTAGCTAACATTAGAATAACTGCAACAATATAAAATACCCACCCGAAGCAAACCTGCAGATTAAGCTTATACCAATTACCTGATTAAACATTATGAAATATTGTCTTAAAATGGCATTTCTATTCCTTGTATGGAGAAAACAATTAACGAGTATTCATAAAAATAAATAAAGCTGTCCTAAAAAAGGTTGCAAACTACATAGAAACTCCCTAAAATATTGAATAATTATAACAGCAATGATTAGCTTTGAAGTTAGTCAAATAAATTATTTCTCGTTAAAGTTAATGACCTCCTTTTTATGGTTAATGTATAATCATTTTCAAAAGGGAACGGAACGGTCCAAATCATAGTATTGTTTCAAAAGTTCACAAATAAGTTTGATAATGTTCCTCTAAAACCAATAGACAATCCCAATTATCCCTACTTTCTAAACGTAAACTTTGGAGAAATTTAGCTTGAAATATTCAAAGTTAGTTTCATAGCTTTATAATATTCTATACCTTTCCCACATTGCCTTCATTAAGTTGATTTAGGTTAATTTTATGTCATGTTTTGTTTTATTTATGGTATCTTCTTAAAACATACAACCTTCTGAGTTTGGAAAATTTAAAATTTCATTATTTTTTATCAGGTGGTTTAAGTGTTACTCTTGTCCATTTGAGTATCCCAAATTTTATTCAAACAACTCATAGGTTTTTGTTTGTTCAGGAAGAAAACGTCCGTCTGATTTTGTATAGCTCGATAAAGAAGGTACTGAAAAAATAGTGGAATTTTCTCACACATGTAACTACTATACTCAGAATTATTCATTCTGATAGCCCCTGGACTACGAATAATGACTTTATA